TCCTGCAGCATCCGATGCCCTGAATCGAAGAACTGCGCCCCTGAAGATGCTGCCATCTGCTGCGTCGTCAGCACAGCAGCTCCTCCTCTGTTCTCCTCTCCGCCTATTCCTCCCCCCTCCCCCTCCTCTCCCTCACATGCAGCATGGCGTTATCAAAGCCGTCATTGGGCCTGCAGAGAGCCATCAAAGAAAGAGAGGAGGTCGAAAGAACCCGGAACGAAGACAACACAAGGGTGAGAAAGCACCGGGGGCACAAAGATAAGGGAATGTTGATGGAAGTTCTAAGGCGATGGAGATGATGATGGAGATGATGGCATACAAGAAGATGATCGAGGTAATGACCAACGTCTTGGTTGGCGTCGATGACCAAGACGAAGAGCAAGGAAAACAACAAAGAGCTTGAAGTGGGGACGAAGGAGAAGGAGAGAGGAGGGGAAGGAGGAGAGAGGAGGGGAAGGAGGAGAGAGGAGGGGAAGGAGGAAGCAGGTGAAGTTGGGCATGGCATGGCAGTGCTGCTGCCGCTGCTTCTCTTACTCGTCGCGCTGTTCGTGCGGTTGATGTCTCCGCATTGCTGATGATGTGGAGGAGGGTGGGTCTTGACAGTCAAACAAGGGGGTAGGGGTGTGTACAAGGGGTACTTCAGCTATCGAAGAAGGGGTAAGGGTGTGTTCGAGCCATGAGGGGTGGTGTACCTCCAGTTTGAATATTGTAGGGCGAAATAGAGGGTACTAAATGTTGAAATGACGGGTACTTACAGAAACGATAGGGTGATTCATTGAGAGGGTGGTCGAATCGATCCAACCAGACTTACGCCCATGGCGACGCCGCGAGTGATGGTGATCGTGCTGAAGGTGAGGGAGAAGGCGATGAGCATGGAAGATGGACGGAGAAATGCAACAGACCAGCACTACGAACATGCAGCTAGCGAGGATGAGGATGAAGATGACACGTGATGTGAGGATTAAGAAATAGATGTGGCAGATGTTTGGATTCGTTGTAATGCTGTGGATGGGTATGTACAAGAGGTGGTTGTAATGGAACGATGATGGGATGAGATGGGATGAAAAACTATGATAAGATGATGGAAATCGACATGATAAGATGGCGAGATGAGATGAGAAGCTGAGGAGATGACATGAGAGGCGGAGTAGCAGACAAACGAGGAAAGAAGGGATCCATTGAATGAGCGGCGTGCAAGTTTATTCCCAAACTAAACTTATACGTAGTCGGCTTGTAGTTTGTAGCACTAGATCGATGAATCTATGAGCTTGTGTTCTTCGTTCTCTTTGATCTGTTTGCTTGTGTGGAACCTGCTGAGATTGATCGAAGCGAGAAGATTCTGATGCGAAGATGTCGCAAACAGGCGGACGGATCATGTGTGGAACAGAAAGTCGCGATATCACCAGGTAGAGGCAACGGGAAAAGACATGGGCATGCAATGAACCTTAAGTCAGGGTGGCAAGAGAAGCTCGTAGGATATCCAACGGTCCCACTAGGAGAGGACGGGCTGATAGAGGCGCTGGACGCTCAGGTTATCTGCATCGACGAGGACAATCTGGTCTGTTGCACTCGCTCTCTCGCCCCCTGCTCCTCATGTCGTCACCTCCAGGAGCCCGACCAGGCTGAGAGTCTTCCCGTGAACGCGCATGAGCTGCCGGCTCCCATGGAGGATGACGGTGAAGAAGTTGACGCTCTGCCGCACGCGTCTGACATGTCGGGCGAAGAGGCGAGGGGCGACATGATCATCTGGAGGAGAAACGACGTGGGATGCCCCTCGGACATCACAATCGATGAGTGGAAAGAATATTGCCTGGTAAGCCCCGGAGAGCTCGACCCCTCTGACCCCTCTGACCCCTCTGACCCCTCTGACCCCTCTGACCCCTCTGACCCCTCTGACCCCTCTGACGCCTCTGACCCCTCTGACCCCTCTGACGCCTCTGACCCCTCTGACCCCTCTGACCCCTCTGACCCCTCTGACCCCTCTGACCCCTCTGACCCCTCTGACCCCTCTGACCCCTCTGACCCCTCTGACCCCTCTGACCCCTCTGACCCCTCTGACCCCTCTGACCCCTCTGACCCCTCTGACGCCTCTGACCCCTCTGACGCCTCTGACGCCTCTGACCCCTCTGACGCGCCTGTAGAACCCGAAAGCCCCCAAGTTTCTGCAGGCGATCGACGCGCGTCGCATGAGGAAGGTGAGAGAGTCTGCGCTCGGAGAGCTTTCAGTTGAAGTGATATGTAGGAGGACAACGAGAATGAAGATGAGGACGACGATGACGAGGTAAACATAGATGCTTGGCGCATGTCGCTGAAGTCAGTCCAGGACGACGATGTAGATGATGACAATGACAGCGAAAATGGTAGACTGAACACTGAACAACTGGCATCCAAGACATGTAATTTTGTTCTTCTTTCTTATTCCAGGCGAAGAAGAATCTGAAGATGGAGCAAGCGACGACGACGATGACGACGACGACGACGACGACGAAGAAGAAGAAGAAGAAGAAGAAGAGCAAGCAATTTCTGCTGACAATGTGGAAGATGGTGATACTCATGCGATGGTTCCACTGATCGATTGCGGGTCTGATTCGGTGTCATGGTTCTAGATGAATCTTCCTCGAGCTCAAGTGCGGCAGATTCTCCAGACAAAAAGAAGCAGAAGACTTCATGACTGAAGCAAAAGCCGGCGGATCAAACCCTGCTGGCTGATATCAATTGATTCAATGAATAAGCCTAGTAAGTATCATCAATCCATTTCTGGAGCATTGTCCTCCCCGGCGCTCAGGCGCCGCGGAGTTCAACGGGGTCATCAAGTTCAAATGGCCGGGCGTGCTGCCTCAGCCCCTCAGTGACCCGGCCCGGCGCCCGCGGCCGCCGAATCGGTCAGAGTCTCAAGCGGCCGGGCGGCGCCCGGCGCGGCCGGGCCCGGGCCGTGGACGCGGGCGGGGCCCGGCCGATCACCGCATGGTCACGGTGACGCCGGTACCGTTAACGGCAGTCTCAGGCCGCCGGGCCCGGCACCCGGCGGCGCCGCAGGGCGGCCGGCCGCACTGGCCCGGGCCATCATGATCATTGACCGTTAATTGTAACGGTAATACAGAGTTGTGCCTGTCGTTCTGAACTGTTGTTCTCTAGAAATTGAAATTTTCTAGCAATTTTTCACATAATTAGTGACACTATGACCTCATAGACGTTTGGGTCCATACCGCCGAAGAAGATGCTGAGAGTTGGCTGCGCAAGGAGCTTCGCCCATGCGAAGGTGAAGAGAAGAGAGAGAAAGAGAGAGGAAGGGAATGAGAGGAGGAGGAAGGGAGAGATGAGAGCCCTTCAAGCCTCTTGATGCCAGCTTTTCTTCTCTTTGCGTCAATTTCTATGCGCTCCCTCATCTCGCCATGTCTTTGCTTTGAGCATTGTGATATTACAACAGCTGGACTCTTTTATCCTCATCCTTCTATCTTCTCTTTTATCCTCACCCTTGTATCTTCTCTTTTATCCTCACCCTTGTATCTTCTCTTTTATCCTCACCCTTGTATCTTCTCTTTTATCCTCACCCTTGTATCTTCTCTTTTATCCTCACCCTTGTATCTTCTCTTTTATCCTCACCCTTGTATCTTCTCTTTTATCTTCATCCTTCTATCTTCTCTTTTATCCTCACCCTTGTATCTTCTCTTTTATTCTCACCCTTGTATCTTCTCTTTTATCCTCACCCTTGTATCTTCTCTTTTATCCTCACCCTTCTATCTTCTCTTTTATCCTCACCCTTCTATCTTCTCTTTTATCCTCACCCTTGTATCTTCTCTTTTATCCTCATCCTTGTATCTTCTCTTTTATCCTCACCCTTGTATCTTCTCTTTTATTCTCACCCTTGTATCTTCTCTTTTATCCTCACCCTTGTATCTTCTCTTTTATCCTCACCCTTGTATCTTCTCTTTTATCCTCATCCTTCTATCTTCTTTAGACCACTTCTCCTCAGTTGATGTGATTGAAACTCCTTCACCCTAAACCTTGTCCTCCTCGTCTCCGCCTCTTTCCCCATGTCGGGCTGTTGTAATCGTTTCTCGAGCACAGGTCGCCATCCCATCAACAAGAATAGCCTGCAAGAGGTTCTCAAGCTCTACTGGCAACACAATCACCCCTAAGGTTGTCTTCTTGTCCTCGCACTCCTCTTCCCGTCTCGAACGTCTTCTCGTCTCTGCTCTTCTTTGCTTGTCCTCCTTCGCTCTGTTCCTCCTCTGTTGCTTGTCCACCTCTCACATCCCTCCCTTCCCCTCCCCTGTCCATTTCTTAGCCTCTCCTGCTTCTCCTGCTCTGCTCTACACCTCAAGTTTGTTCCTGCTTTGTCCTTTCCTCTTCCCGAACGACTAACATGCTATTCAATACAAGGATGAGTACAGTGGCCGATCAGCCTATGAGATCGGGCAAGTCGCTTTGCTTTCGTTCTCGTCTCGTGCATGACGGGCTTCACAGCAACAAGGCCAAGGAACGTGTCCATCCTAGCGCTTCGCCTCTGCATCGCGTTCACGAGCCCGTGGGCGAGGTCTGCCAGCCTCGTCTGCTGGTCTGTCAATCTCCTGACCGTCTCTTGCAGGAGGATGCGCCATGGACTCCAAAGTCCTTCATCGGTAAAACCCCGCAGGTGAGACATCGACCCCCTCCCCGGCTGCTGCTGCTGCTGCTGCTGCTGACTTGGTTTATAGCAACTTGTGCATGAAGTTCCTCCCATCCCTGTCAACGGCGCGAGGGTCTCATGCAACGGCGGTGATGTTGCTCGCCATCAGCACATGATGCATATTGCTTGTCTCTAGCGCCTGAAAGCCTCTCAGGCCCCAACCGTGCGATGGGACATCCGGAAGTTTACCTCAACTTGGACGGAGAAAAGCCGAAGCCCTGCCCTTACTGTGAGCTCCTCCTGCTACTTAGCAGGGCAACTGACGGCTGCTGGCAGGTGGTTTGAGATATTTCAACGCCAAGAAGAGTCACCATTGACGTCGCTCATCGAAGACGAGGCAGCCTCGTGTTCTTCGCTGACCTTGTTGTGTATCTTGTGGAAGAAACGACTAGACTACGACCTCCTCCTGTCCTCCCTCAGTGTAATCAAACGTGCTGCCGTCGTCTACAGTGAAGACCTCGAGTTGTCTCATGTGGTATATCGCAATGGGAGGCGGAGGGGAAGCGTGGCGAGCAAGAGGACGTAGTGAGTCATGTGTGCAACAAAGCAGATATCATGGACAGCAACAGACAATGCAGAGACCCCTAGCTCGCGATCTCCCGGGTTCGCACGTTGCTTACAAACTCGGCAAGAGCTTGAGCAGTGATGCTCGGCTGCTCGAGGTGAGGGACATGGCCGCACTTGTCGACCCACTGCAGGCTGGAGGAAGGGATGTCGGCGATGAACCTCTCGGCGTACTTGCTAGGCTCGAGGATCTTGTCGTCCCTTCCCCACAGCACGAGCGTCTCCTTGGTCACCTGCGAGACCTTGTCGGAGAGGTGATAACCCCCCGAGTTCATGAAGCCGATCATCGCCTCCTCCCACCCTCCGGTCAGGCAGTGCAGGCGTCCGATCCTCATCGCATCCTCTGTGCCCCATCTGTCGGGGTCGCTGTAGGCGATCTTGTTGGCGAACATGCGGAGAGGTTTGCTCTTGAGCACTTGCACTCCCAGCTGCTGCAGCATGCGCGGCTGCCCGGTCATGGCGGCCCCGTCGATGTAGCCCTGAGCATCGACCAGGACGAGCTTGTCCACCAGGTCTGGTCGCTGCAGGGCGACGTCGATGGCGATGGAGCCCCCGAGAGACGCGCCGACGAGGGTGACAGGACGAGCGACGTGCTGCTCGATGAAGCCCACCAGGTGACTCAGTTTGGCTGCCGGGGAGAAGGAGGACACCGCCTCTCTCTCAGTGAAGCCCCAGCCCAGCACATCCACCGCCCACGACTCGACGCCCTTCTCCTCTAGCCTCGGCTGCAGCCGCCGCCACTCGAGGCAGGAGGAGTCGAAGCCGTGCAGCAACAGGAGCGGCGATACCTCCTTGCTCGCCTCCACGTTGGTCTTGGAGTAGCTGGTGAGGACGGCACGCTCCGCGAAGGAGGGATCCATCTGCACGGGCACCCGCCGCAGGCTTCTCGCCATGTTGATGCAATCGACGTCCTCGATCTCCTCCATCTCTCGTGGCAGAAACTCAGGGAACGAAGCGCTGCAGACAACCCGTGAGGCTCGCAGGGACGCGTGGCATGAGCTCCTCCGGATCGAAGATGCTCCTCGGATGGCAGTGCTTGACGGCATGAAGCACTGACAGCAGGAGAAGACCTGCAAGGCAGCTAGAGGAAACAGCAAGACTTTCATGTCCTGCAATCAACTCAATGGAATATCACAACGTGCCCTCTTTCTCACAACACTCTCATGACATTTATCACAACCATGTTACAACTATCATCGTCCTACCCTCCTGCTCCTGCTCCTGCTCCTGCTCCTGCTCCTGCTCCTGCTCCTGCTCCTGCTCCTGCTCCTGCTCCTGCTCCTGCTCTTGCTCCTGCTCTTGCTCCTGCTTCCTGCTCCTGCTCCTGCCTTGTTCTGATGTTTGCTGCTCGTCTCCTCCCTCCCCCTTCCCTCTCCTCCCCACCTCTGCTTCAGGCCTCACTCTGAGACTCGAAGACTCGAGGCCTTATTTTAAGGCGGGGCATGTAGGGGATGCGGTCAAATCCGATCGCTATGGAGGATGAGGCGCAAAGAAATTGGAGGCGAAGGCGAAGCCGCGA